GGGGGGTGTTATTGTAAATGCAGAAGGAATGGGTGACAAGAGCATAACACTTCCTTTTTCTTTTAAGCAATTCAAATTTCTCACCAATTCATTTTATTTGGTTTCAGTTTGGTTTCAAGAGAGGAACATCAACACAAAAACCGTCAATGAGTGCGGAGAAAAAAGGGAAGACAGACACGACAGACATAACAGATGTGAAGACGCGACGTACGGCCTACCAGTGGCCTCATCCAACCAAATACAATTGTTCGGAGGTTAGTTTAAGATAATAATTTTTTTTTTAGCAGAGGTTTTACGGCGCTCGCAACGCTGCATAATAAGGTCATATGAGCGAAAGAAGATTCGAGGCGTTACAAGAGTGTAACAAACATAAAAAAAGAAGAAGGACAGATAAGGACGACAGACGTTTGATAGGAAAGAAGGAGTAAACCACACCAGAGCACCCGCAAACCACCCACTAAAATAATGAACACACACACACATACACATAATAATAATACAGTGATGATAATGAATGATGATGATGATGATGATGATGATGATGATGACGATGACGATGATGATGATGACATACTAATCGTACTGTTCTTTCGTTAAAAGATCGTTTTTCCAATGCAGAAAAACCCGAAAACGCAGTGAGGAAGTGAAACAATCACCATTGTTGCAGGGAAGCTAAAAACAGCTAATCCACTTGTCGTGCTCTTGTGCTTTATAGAATTAGTGTTAGCGGAAAGGTCACACCATTATGGGAAGCCATGCTGTTACTTAAAAAAAAAAAAATAAATAAATACAAATAAACATAACAAAAAAGTATATCATGAACGAAAAATTACAGCCATCCAAAAATCAAGATTAGATTAGTGCTGCCATTGCATTCAAATCATAATTCACTTAAGAAAATCGAAGCAAAAAAGGTTAATTAACAGATAATTCTTCGAAATTATTACAGCCTTTCACTAAGGGCCGAGCTGACTAAGATTTTTAAGTACAATCCTCCCCCCCCCCAAAACTCCAAAACATTAAATTGTTCAAACTTTTAGAAAATCTTTGCATTTCTGCTTTGTGTGTATTCCCGCCCGCATCCATGTGCACAAATGTACAATAATATGTGTAAATATATGTGTGTATGTTTTTGAGTGTGTTTGTGAGTGTACGCACA